GACAAAATATTCAATAGATTGCTTCTAAATAGAGAGCTACAAAAATCAACCAATTCAAAGTATCCGCTGTATTAATAACTAGACTTAATAAGGTGCTAAAGAAATTAATTCTCAAAATTAGATTGTTTCTCTCTATTTCACTCACTCTCAGTGTTTCAGTGGAAGTACCTACTTAATACATAGATAAAGACGGCAGAGGGACCAAATAGCCGAGCTTCAAGTTGAGAAAGAATTAGAGAAACATAGAAATACTTAATTGCGTTGGCGATCTGAAGTATGTAGAAGTTCTGCTTAGAAAGTCCAAAGCGTTAAATGTGACACTACTGATATCGATAATGTATTTATCGAACGAGAGATTATCCGAAAAGGTGACTCCAAGATGAAGAATATCAATAACAGAATTTAAAATAGTGTGATTTATTTGGTATTCAAGGTTCTGAATATTTGATGTTTTTCCGTGTAATTTTACGAAATAACCGAAAAGACAGAAGTAAAATGAATTCTTTCTTTTTCTTCGTTTCTATTTATATACATAAACCTGTGAATATCCAGTGGACTGGTTGACATTTCTGTCCTAAAAGCAGTGTATTTTTAAATATTGCATCCACTTCTCTGTCGACAACCGGTACATCTATAGTAATACGACCAGGTTTTTTTAAATCGAGTATACTTGGAAATGTCTCACAAACAGCTTCAACTAATATAATTAAAAGTAATTCGAAGAAGGTCGAGTTCGTACTCATCGAAAGACCTCACGAATCTATTGAAATCGTTGTTTTGCTATCCATAAAGAAGTATTAATGTGACTCAGCCATTTTATTCGTATTGTTGAGAATGGATAATTTACGAGATTTAATTTAATTATTTGACGTTACTTATCCCTGCAAAACGACATTCTTAAAGGCAAAATACGTGAAATCTGGTAAGAAACCAGTTTTATCCGATAAGCGTTTCCAATCGACATTAATAACGGAGAGATATTTTATTTTACTTTTAATATAACGATAAGTACATATTCGAACGTTTCTTCGTTGCAATCTAAACGTTTTCATTGTTTATCTTCCATCCTTCTATAGCCATGACTTAAACGAAGACTGTGAGACGACTTCTTTCTTAAATGCATCGATGCACTCATAAGGTGCAATTGTACTTTTAAATTAATTCCTTCTATATTACCATTTTGCAATCTACAACTTGCGTATGTCCTGAGAGTGTAATATTCTACAGCTTTACAGATTCCTATCTACCCTTAACGCGTTGTTCACGAAAACGAAACTTTCCGAATTATTTTCTTTAGCATCTAATCTTGGAACTTAATTTTGATAGCTCCTTGATAAAAAATAATGTTTACCAAAGGTTTACCCGCGAGACTGGTCGATCGTCTTTCTCGATATTCTTTTTTCGCGAGTAGGACAGCCCATCAAACCCGCGGGCAAACCCGCAGGAAATCTCGATCGGTTATCGGGACCGTTCGAGCTTGATCGGAAAAAATCGCGTCGCGACGAATCGCCTCCGTTATCGACGACTATAACGACTATCGTACCGACGCGGATTAGACTTTTAAATGACACCGAACCCCGGCTCCGACACATATTTCACGAGATGACGGTGAACGTCGCGCTAAATCATCCGGAGTGACCGCATCCGCTTGCCCAATCGGCCCGAGACTCTTCTTAACGGTCTCTTGTCACGCCTGCGACATTCCACCGAAACACACGACTGGAGAACGCTCCTCTTCCCACGTCCCTCTCCTTCGTTTCGTCTCTCTTTCGTCAATGTCGTGACCGCGAGACGCGCTTTTGCGGCCCGCCATATTAATATTGTTCTATCGGAATTCCAATCCCTCGGAATGGGACGCCGACACGGGATCTCTCGATGCCATAATTCACCGCGGTGACGCGTTCCTGACCGTACGGCCCGACGTCGTGGTCGCGATAGATTTTTAGGCAAATTAGCGTTCGATATCCCCACGTGTGCACGAGCCTCGTTTTTCCACGAATTCGTCCTGTGCGAACGATCGCGAAACCGACCGTATATTAAGCCCCATTTGCACGCGATACGGAGCCACGATTTTTATAGCCGCGATTCAAGTCCGTGATTTTTCAACGTCACCGTTGATAAACAGACAGTTTCACGCCGTGACGTTAGTCGGATCGTTGTTATTAAATGTTTTGTTCTTTTATTAAGCAATTGAAACCATACATATAGGTTCATGTGCAACGAAATTCTTAAATTTGTAATTTATATTCTTTACAAGCCCCTGTGTTGGGTTTGTAAATAAACGCTTATTGGCAATTGGAAGCCTAAAGATACCAGAAAGTTGATTGATCATTGCTACAAAACGTGATTCAAATCTTCAGAATCGTTACCATATTGGGATTTAGAAACTATTATAATGCGAGCTAAAGAAGAAGCCAAATGAGGAGGCTAAGGGGGCTGCAACCCAAGGCTTGATTTTTTTTAAATACTCAAACAATCTTCATGAATATTTGCTGAGGAAATTATTTTCGATTTGTTAATGTTTTTACAATAAGTTGATACACTTAAAATATGATTTTTTTTATTTTTTAACGAGATCGAGTATCAGTCTGCGGGACCATTGGGTTAAGAGACGCTGATCTAGACTGGTATCATGATAAATAACATTGCAAGAATGTGATTTAAACCTTCAAAATCGGTACTACATTTATATTTGGGAACAGTTCCAATACTAAAGAAGAAACGAAAGGGTGAGGCTAAGGGGGTTGCAGCCCAAGCACAGATTTGTTTTAATTACTCAAATAATCTTCAGGAATATTTGCTCAGAAGATTAATTTGAATTTGTTAATATTTTTCCAATAAGTTAAATCACTTGAAAAATGATTTTTTAAATTTTTTAACAAGGTCCACTGTTAGGTCGCGGTTCCATAGGTTGAGAGACGCTGATCCAAAGTGGTTTCATGATAGTTCCCGGTCAAATATCTTACTCTTGACCCGCTCAGAAAAAATCCACGCACGGACGCGGAGGGATTCGAACGAGAGTAACGATCATCGAGTATCACGGTCTACGGGTGACTCGGGGAAACGTGCACTCTTAGAGACTACCTGGACGCAGGTGTACGAGATGGTACGTCCTAAGCTCGTGCGAGGGCGTGTATATCCTGACATTGTAAAAGTTGCCGTTACACTTGCGTAGCCAATTGGGTAGGCCGGGACTCCCTCTAGGACGGCCCAGATCTCGTAGCCTCTTCTGGTCCCGGTGTTCCTTCTCTCTGTCCTTTCCTTTCCCTTCGTTTCTTTTCTATCCTCTTTTTCTTCGATTTCCTGTCCTTCGTTCTCGCTCGGTTACTTCTTCGTCCGGTCTGTTGCGCGCTCGTGGAGTCTGTCGGTATCGTCGAGCTGCCATCTCGAAAAATCCCGATCCGTGTCCTTCGGTTCTGCTACCGCGGTAGGTTTCCCGCACGGTGACCAGCACGCTAAGATCTCAAGACAGGGCCGGGGAGATACGTACGCGAAGATCGTGGCTACCACGCTCGGAAATTTGCTGCCGATTTCGATAACATCGACGAGCTTTCGTTTAGTTTTATACTAGGCACGCCGAAGGATGCCGGCCGTTGTACGACGTCCTTGCTGCCGTTTCCATGCTCGTTACGCGCGTCATCTACTCCTCGTAATCGAGCAACCTACCAGCAGTTTTCCGCGTTCGACCATAAGCCGCCGCCACGTCACGCCCTCGAAGTTCTTACGTTTCGCAAAAAGTCAGGAGATCGGTACCGTGGAACAGGAACGCAAGCGCCGGGGATCTCGGAGAGCAGATCGACGCGCCAACAGCGGGTTCAGTAACCGTATAGATCGTCACCTCTTGACAGAAACTATTTAAAGTACAGCTCTTGTGTGCGTTCGCCGGCAGGTTGATATAGGATGCAACAGCTGCGATCGGATCGTACGGCGTGCGAACAGCCGATGGTCACACGCGTACCATACATTCGTGGGACCATTGTGCTGTCTTATTATGCGCTGAATTTAACGAAAACGCGGTTCTTTAAGCCGCAAAATCATTATTCTCGATACCGCGCGTCGAACCGCGGACACCGGTATTCAAAAAATCAGACGAATCTCGTGATGTATTTTCAGCATGCGGACGTTGGGACCGACCAATTCGTTTACTCGAAACTCGTTAAGTATACAAGGTGTTGGTGGTCAAACCTTATCACTATATTTTATAAGACTAAATGAGAAAAAAATGTTATATAAACATAGGCTATTTGAAGCTTTGTTAACCTGTATGTTAATAATTAAAATACTTAAGGTTGTTCAGTAACTGGGATATCTACATAAGTATCCAAAACGCTTTGTTCCAATGAGTCAAATGCAAGAAAATAGTTTTGCCACCATGCTTTCATGTAAGGAATACTTGCTTTCATTGTTTAAATATAGATATAAATATACAATTTTAATCGAACGAATATTTCATTTTACTTAAAATTACAAAAAATAATTATTCGTTTCTTGTACAATAATTAAACCTTAAAAGCAATTCTATCAAAATTTGATTTTTATAATTTCGCATTTCAAAAAGTGTGATTCGATTTAATAGGTAAAACGTAAATGTTTACTATTAAAAGAGTGCCGACTCTGATTAAGTTAACGCGTTGCTCATATTATCCGACAAAATGGCGGATAAACCTTGGGAATTCGTACTTGTATCTACGCTCGACAGAGTGTGCTGCAATCAGTAAACGTTAAATGCACATGTAACGTAAAAGAAAAATTAGTAAACGAATTGCTATCCTTATTTCAGGATTGTGACGTTGTTTTCTTTATTATTTCAGTTAATTTAAATTTGTAATTTATTTTTATCTATTCTTTAAGATAATTTGCATTCGTTCGAACGTTGCGAATGCACCGATTTAAGGATATTGCCTGTGAACCTTGAAAATTTTAATATCGAATTACGTGCGTTGAAATGGTTATGCACTTTGTATTTTTAGTGACTTTAGTTTACTTCTCTTTCGTTTCAGACACTCCTTGCGACAGCACATGTTACGGCATGCCGGGAAGAAGTTCAAGTGCGGACTTCCGGGGTGTCCAACGGTGCTTCGAACAGCCTCCGAATTGAAATCGCACAGAAGCTTGGTGCATGAGAAACAAGCGCCCGACAGACAGTACCAGTGTTCCGATTGCTCCTACTCGGCCAAAACGAAAACACAATTACGCAGGTAATTTACTTGCAAGGGTCATAAATTTACAATAGAAATATAGTTACGAAATTTCTATCCTTTCTATCCTTTAAACCGCATTCAAAACCATGCTGATTCTTTGGACGAACATTTGAAAGCATTTATTGCATTATTGTATTTTGTTATTTGTTTAAAAATTTTAAAGAGTAGTCTCGTGCGACTTAATTGTTGTTTAGATGAACAGAAACAGTAATAACGTTGAAGTTTGTCACGTCTGCTAGTTAGAATCATCGATAACATTTATTTAGCGCATCCTGCTTTGGACACGATGCTATTAATCGTTTAAATAGTCTGTTCGAACTAATTGTATACTAATAAACTATCGAGTAATTAGAGACTTTTGATTAGATTAATAGCGTCGCGTCTAAGATAGGATTTGTTAGATACGCGTTACCGATACGTTCAACCGGTAGATCCGGAATGAAATGCAATAATATTGTTTTCTGTAATATAAATATTATGCATTATTAATACCAGTGATCCTAAGAAACTCGTTGAGAATCGAATTAGTAGAAATTAAATATCAACCGTAGGAAATTGTTCTTCAGAGATTAAATGATACACTGATATTAAAAAAATTAGAAACATACGATTTATGCTTGATGTCAATCCATATAGAGACGACAAAATCTTGGAGGAATTAGAAAAATTAATTCTCAAGTTGAGACGTCGAGGGAAATAAATTTAAATAAGATTTGTGAATTTTTGCAAGCTTACAAAAATAAGTAAAACAAATTTCAGGTTGTGTAGTTTACAATAGTCCAAAATCAAAATTTTACTCTTGCAGTGAATTGTATTGTTTTCACCCGGCAGTAAGCGCATTAATATTTAAAAAAAGTGTTTTTTTTTTAAACAGAAAAATTGAATTTTAGTTAGAAATTATCGGTTGCCCAGACCACTGTGCACTGTGTGGTCTCGCGATCGTTAGGCAAAGTCGAGCAAGGTGAAACGCATTACGCTCGAACGCGATCCCGATCGCGTCGACTCGGAGGAACGTTGATTCTGGCCTCGACTGCCCGTACCACCGATATTATTGACATTAATTCTAATCGAGATTCCCGACGGGAACGCCACGATCCTACGCCATTAATCGTGCTCGTGGCTCGCGTATGTAGGATGCATGATCGATGTCTTCGAGGAAGTAGAGAATTAATTGCGTTGGCCGCGGCTAGTCGGTGCGCGCGTAAGCGATCGCTCGGACGCGAATGGTCAAAGAATCTCGAGTATTATCGATATAATTTGTTTCGTCCGAGCGATAAATCGTTGACCGTGCTTAATGGGAAAGTGCTCGCGCGATTCCTTTAATCGAGGAATCCGCGCAGTGATTACGCGCGCGGGGATTTCTTATCCGCGAATGGATTGATTCTTAATTATCTATAGAGGAAAAAGGGGGGGGGTGTGGCGGTGAAGAGGGGGGAGGGGCGGGGTTACGGGCGGAGTACGGGAACGTTAATACCGGAAAATATGCAGCGGCCGTTTGTCGCGCGGCACGCACGAAAGCGAGAGGTTCGATTTAAATCGTGCCTTATTAAAGGCATTGTACCGTGGAAGGTCGCTAATAAATTTCATCTCGTTTGATTTGTCGTTTCGCTTTGTTTTGTTTTTCCTCGTTCTGTTTCCATTTTTCTGTTTGTTGTTTTGTTTGTTTGGTTCCGTGTGCGTGTTTGTTGTTTCTTTTTTTTCTTTGTTTTTTATTACGGCCACGCGTGCGACCGTAAGGGGAGAGGGGAGGGGGATAGAGAGAGAGAGAGAGAGAGAGAGACAGAGAGAAAGGGAAACAAACTGCGCGGGAGTGCTGGGTGGAACAGAACGATAGAGAGAAAGTGAAACAGAGAAAGAGTACGTCGAAAGCGGAAGTTGCGTGCAGCAGCCGGCCAAGTGCGGGCAACCCGTTATGATCGTCCGCATGGCGATGGTCGGCACGATATTTCATCGCGAATTGAGTACTTACTACGTGAGTCGAACTCAACGCAGCCACAGTGTCACGGGGTTCTCTTTCTCTCCCGCCTCCGCGCTCTTTCTCCCTCCATCAACCCGGGTCCAACATCTCCCACTATCCAGCACCCTCCGACTATCTCGTTCCTTCCCCCTTTTCATCTCTGTTCAGCTCTCTTTTTCATCGGTCCACGGCACTGTCGCCGATCCCTCTTTCTCCCAGCATTGTATCTCGTTCCGTCTCTATCGTTTACACTCTGTGCGGCGGAGTAAATCACGCGGGATTTTAATTAAACGTGTCACGCATTTCGAACCTGATATACACGTAGCCATGGCCAATGGCTTCCTCGTAATATCGCGCACGCATATCGCATCGTTCATAATCACCGATCCCGCTGCGACGATGAACTCGCCCGAGAGTCGCCGCCGCGTCTTCTACCTTGCAGAAATATTTGGTTGTCGGTCCCCTTCTTTTTCCTCGATTTCACGAAAAGCTGCTTGATTTCCAGTTGTTTGCGCCCAGATTATGCGCGACAATTACCATACCGCGAATTCACCGTTAACGGCGTTCCCCGTCCGACCATTTTCAGCGGCTTTCCAGCCACGTTGCGTGGGACGTATGCGCCCCATGTTGTACAATGGGCTAAAACACAACAAATCCTGACGTTACAAATAATAAAAGAACAGCAATGATATTTGGGAAAATGCTTTCTATCTAGGTACTAGCATTTCTGGTTAGAAAGTTTGTAAAAGTTTGTATCAACTTGGCTTTGAATAAATCGTTCTGAAAGACTATGAAAAACAACCTTTACAAATCAAAATTTTATGAACAAAATTATATAGATAAAAACATATCCAGTTTTTTAGTCAATTTTACTTCGTTCGCAATTTGTAATCATATAATATAAATCCTGTAAAAAGATAATTGTTTAAAATTGAAACATCGTTATTATCGTGGATACTGAGAATCAAATTAATTTTAGTATTTATTTCTGTTGGATTTAATCGTCTTACGTTACTAAGTTTCTACTGATTAATTCATAAGAATGTTGAGAGGTTTTAACTATAAATTATGGTACAATGATGCCATAATTGTGATCTCATGCAAACAGATCACGGGTTATTGACTCTTGAGCAACATCGTATAGCTGACCTACTTGTTATATAAAGTAATAAATAAGTAGATTACCTGCCCCGATATTCTACATGAAATGGACTTTCGTATTCCGACTAAAAATTTCAGAAAACTCTCTTTCTCGTAAAGATAATTGAACGCTTTATGGCAAATTTAATTATTTAGGTCGAATCTTTATGGATCGCTAATTCGTTTCGTAATACCGTCCACTTTCTTGTGATCCTTTTCCGTTATTTAAACGTTCGGCGAACACTTCCATACATGACTTACAAGTTATACGTTTTTCTTTTTGCTCGTTATTTATGGTTCCTCGTATGTTTGCTTCTTGACTCCTTTCTTTCTATTTTCTTATATTTATTTTGTAGCTTTTTAACATCATTTCGTATAGATATGCAGTAAAACGTCATGTTTATTGGACGAAAGAACGCATGCTTCCTTTACATTCTTCCGGGAATGGTTATTTACTTCGATCACCTTTTTTCCAAGTTCTAATAATTTAATAATTTTGAATATTATACACGCCTAAATCAGAGACTCTCTCCAAAATTTCTTTTCCAATTTCAACATCATTCTTTTCCGTCTTACGCATAGCCTAAGTGAAACAAGTAATCTTACCTATCTGTTTACGTCTAATATTTGCGAGACAAATACAGATTTTAAAGTACAAACGGTATTAGAGTTGGGCTTGTGGTGGTACACACGTGTGTTCCATTTGTATACCGATAATCGGTTGTTCGCATAGTCAACATTCGGATAATCGGGATACCAATAATCGACGTTCTACTGTATACGAAAAGCAATTTGCAACACCAATGCGCTCTACAGTCCATGGTCGTCGAATTAGGATCACACGCAAGAACTTCACTTTTTTAATTACACGTCGTAAATGACAAATTGTCCTTGACTATTCGTATTATTGTTGGATAATCGTGTATACTTAAGAATAAATGTATTATAATTATTGTAAGAATGGTAGAATTCGCGTGGACCAGCAGGTATTTTTTAACAAGTCTACGTGCTAATTTTTATCACACGACGTAATTCATGGGTTGCTAAATTAATTTAACTACAGGGTGTCTTTTCGTGTAAGGGCATTACTTTGTTTTAGGATAATTTTTAAACGAAACATTTTTAATTTATTTTGCTTTTACGTATCGTTTGTTTAATTAATGGCATTATTTATGGAGTACAGTATTCTATTTCGATTACGTACTTCGTAACATTTAAGCATATTTCTGTTTTGCAGCGTTGTCATCAAGCAGGCTCAGCAAAAGAATTATTATTGATCTGTTATTATAAAATGTTTTAATCGCTAAAGCACGTTATCGAAGATGTCAACCTCCCAACAATGAGTTGTCAATATCCAAGTTACACGGCAGACAAAATGCAATCGACAGCGAACGTTATAGAGAAAAATGGCGCCCTTACATTAAAAAAAAAACACTCTGTACAACAATTGCTCCTCCCTGAAAAAAAGCGTAATTTGTTCGTTGCAGGCATCGCTGGCAACACGAGAACGCATTGAGAGCCATGAAGTCGAAGGTGCGCGTCTGCCCCCATTCTGGCTGCCATTTTAAAACGAAAATCAACTCTCATTTGAAGCGGCACGTGCGGTTGCACACGGGAACGAAACCGTACAAGTGCCGGCATTGCCCTTACGCAAGTAACAACTTGGTAAGTAAGATTAAAAATTCACGTTGCCGTGGTCGGTTTTCGGACGGTAGATTGTCGCGAAAGAAAACTGAGGGAAAAGAAAGGAGGAGGTTAGGAGAGTATTAGCGGCGCGAAAGGATCGGTGCGGTGCGTTTTCTCTATCGCCGCGTGCACACGCGGCAGGAGCAGAGGTTGACTCGCAGTTCAATTTTTGTCCCCGCGGTGACTTGGTGGCGTAAATTAAGCAAAGTACACCTTAATGTTTGGACCATGCCGCCGCCTCTGCCGCCACCGAGGCGCGATAAGATAACGAGTTAATTGTGCTCACTGGATGCCCACACACGCACGGGCCAGTCATACCGAGCGGCCGGTATGCTAATGCCCTTTGAAGCTTTAGTTAGGATGCGACTCGCATACGAGGGCTCCGTGTCTCTTTGATAGCGACATAAACTCATTCCAGTGGCTCTCAGCCGTGGATAAGTTGAGCCGTGGTAATCTCGCGGCACGGGGAATTGCGAATGTTACGTCTTGCATCGGTAATGATACAACGGTAGGCACTTCTGAACCGTACCGAGGCCGTATTGAGACTGGGCGAAAAACGCCGCCGCACACCTTACCAGGCCTCGCTTTAATCGTTTTCCCTCGTCCCGCGGCGGACGCGATCGTGCAATCGGCCGAGATAACGATTACGATCGCGTATTCGCGATTCGGGGAGGGTACGTAACGCCAGGGGGCGAAAAGAAAAGTAAGGAAGAGGTATAAGAAACGACGAGGCGGACGGGTATCGGTCTGATCCGACAGGATATCGGGATCGACGATAGCCGATCGTTTTACTCGGTAAGACTTTAATAAGGGTGGATCGCGCGTGCAACCTCGGAGGCGATTTAACGACGAAATTCCCTCCCACGTAGCGGAGCGGCTCGCCTTGCGTCAACGAGATTACATACGCCACCTTTCTTCCTTCCTTCCTTCCTCCATCCAGGTTATGATTTACCTCGGATGGTTACACGCTTCTTTCTTTTACCCGTTCGGCCTTTTTTCTTTCTCCGTCTCGGTATCTCGCCTACCCCCCGCCCCTCGCCCCCCTCGGGTGGAAAACTTACGCTTCGGTTCTTGGAGGTTGGCGGTAATTCTCGAAGGCAACGCTAGTTACTTTCGGATCTGCTTCGCGTTTCCACGCATCTTCTCCTTCTCCCCCTCCCCCCTCCCCCTTCCGTCTGCCTGTTGCCGCTTTTTATCCGCCTCTTCAATTTTTTCCCAGGCCGGATCGGCGGTAAAGTATTCGCGGGTCACAGTAATAAGGGATTTAATAATTTCCGGCTGCCGACCGGTCTCCAGTGCGCGGCGGTACGATCGAATGGAGTCGATACACGTTCGACTTCTACGTTCGTTTCTTTAATTGAAATTTACTTTTTGAGAGATGCCTCGCGTAGCGACCGTTCACGACAATTTATTCGGTATCGTGTAAAAAGTGGAAACGCTCGCCCATTCGGTATCCCATCGATAAAATCTTGATCTGGGTTAAGGATCCCAGGCGGTTTCGCGTTTATAATTTTATAACCGGCAACGGCCCCGCGGCCGAGTACGAGAATATCGGACTTATTGCTGCTTTCGATAATTTTCATACACATGTTACGAGGGACATTTACGTTTAAGTTACGACACGGTAGCCTACAGGTAGGTAGAAAGAAATTAATATTAACCGAGTGGAATCCGTGGAAAGAAATAAACGAGAATGAAGATAAAGCGGCGAGGCTCGAGATCCTAGAATGAAGGCTCTCGTAAAACGGAATATTCCACGGCCTAGTAGCGTACGCCACGGGCACAGTGTACACCCGGGATGCGTATGGAGAAATTATATCCAAAGAAATCGGAATCGATTGGATCCGCGAAACGTTTAATGCGGTACTCGCGTGACGGTGTACGCTTTCCGTGGATCCGCGTTCGACCACGGTGTGAACGGGTCTTTATTCCGAGACCGTCACGGAGCACTGCCCGTCGAAAGATTTACTTATGGGAAATTAAATTTGATGTTGCCGTTGCCATCAACGGCTCGTATAAGCCCGCCTGGTAGGAAGATGTTTACGACTACGGCCAGCTACTTAGCCCGAGAGGGTAAAGCGCCTTTAAATGCTCCATGGCATAGCCAATGAACGCGTCCGGTTTGCGGCAGACCGATTCTGCTCGCAGGTATTCACCGGCGATGCCAACGAAACCCCATTCCGACTGTCCCGGCCGCTGCAACACAAACTCGCAACAGTCTTGAACGTCCCGACGCGATATCTAGTAATAATTCTACCACCAAAACTAATACCAAACCTAAAAGATCACGGTCTGTCGCTTGGTACCTCGAGGAACTGTGCTATTTCGGTAGTTCTTAACCTTTTTCTTACACGAACCCCCTAAAACTTCTTTCCATGCTCTTCAGAATATAAAAATTATGTTTACAGTTTTTAAATTCATTTTATTCGAATATTTTAACCCTTTGAGTACTGAATACTCCTGTAATAGAATAGCAAACCTAAAAAATCACAGTCTGACGCGTGGTAGCTCAAGGGAGTGTGTTATTTCGGGGATCCTTAACCTTTTTCTTACACGACCCCCTTTATCAATCTACTGATACTCCTTTCTATGTTCCTTAGAATGTAAAAATTATGTTTACACTCTTTAAATTCATTTTATTGGGGCATTCTAACCCTTTGAGTGCTGAATACTCCTGTAATGCAATAGCAAACCTAAAAGATCACAGTCTAACGCTTGATAGCTCGAGAAACTGTACTACTTCGGTGGTTCTTAACCTTTTCCTTACACGGCCCCTTTTTTACTAATCCAATGAAACTTCTTTCTATGCTCCTCAGAATATAAAAAAATATCTTTACACTTAGAGCACTTTTCAGTCAGTTTTGATTATTTTTACTTGAAAAAAATTGTGAACATTCCTGAAACATAAATAAACAGCAAGATGTCGAAATTAAGAAACTTATACCTTTCGTTTATAAAAAAAAAATCCCTAAAAAGCTGTGCGTTCCTAGAGCTTCGATAGTGGGGAATAACCAACTTTCCAGCCGCAAACAGTACACGTAATTGTCCTTATGCCTACCAGAGTAAACAGACTCGACTAATCTATAGACGTCGTTTTTCTGGTTGTTACAGGAAAATCTCCGGAAGCACGTCCTGTCCACCAGCCTGCATCCGGGGAAGACTATCTACGAGTGCGACGTGTGCCATGAAAAGAACGCGAACCCGTTCTGTACGAATTTCTCGAAGGAGTTGCGGGCCCATCTGTTGGAAACTCACCCGGACGTTTTCCCGGCGCCGAGACACGCGATCGACTACATCTCCAAGATCTTCGAGGTTCAGCGCGTCCCGTCGGTTTTCATCGACAAGGCCAGTTAACTCGCGCGAGATTGTTTCTTCCTCTCTTGGTCGTCCCGTTCGCCTCGCGATTCCGGACCGTGGAACGTCTACCTCGGGGCCCCGGCGAGTGCAAATTTACGGCGCGCGTCCGCGTTAAAATTGTCGGAACGGCGACCAGGAATCCAGGCCTGGAACCTGGTTCGCTCCGAAGAGTAACAACATCTTTCGAATATTCCTCGGATCGACGGGGACGGCCGGTCGTGAGAGCGTTCTTGAATTATCTCCGATGCATCGGGCTCACGACATAGCGCACGGATGCGTTAGCCTTGGACGTCGATGGCGACGGTGTCGGGTACCCCGTCCTTCGTGGTCGTGCGAACCGGTAGGCCTGTACTGCGTCAGGAAATAGTTAAGGTGATGTACGGTCACGTGGCACGGTACGTACTTTCAACGCGTATACCATCGAATCTTTATGTCCTGTGCACAACGTTCCGGCGACGATCATTCCAACGTATGCGTCCACCTGCCGTTCCGATTTATACACGGTCGATCAACGATTTAGAGACACCTTTTGGTTTTTGAACGGTACCAACGGCCACCAACGATTCGCCGCGAATACGAATATGGCTATTTGTAAGGATCGATTCGGAGGTACGAGTGGGCGGGGGATGATCGGTTTCATATAAAAATGCTAACCATCCGGTGTTACCTAGGGTCGGCGTTTCGGGACGATCGAACGGAAACAAGCGCGCTAATCTCTCGGCGTGTACCTTGTTGGTCGTTTCCTATTGCTCCGCGATATCAGACGCGCGGTTAAGGGGGTAAGAGAGGTGGAAGAGTAGAGGTGGACGGGGTGGACGAGGAACGGAGAGGAAACGGGACGAAACGGTCGTTGAAAAATTCATCGTGGCTGAAAGCCAACGGCGGACCACCTCGTGGATCGTCTTACAAGACGCGTTTCCGTCTTCGAGGGTCCTGATTGTGAGAAATGCATCGTGCTGTCGCTCGAGATAGGTGTCGTAAAGTATGCGGCCCTTGAGTTCTCTCGGGCAAACAGGACGAGAGCGACCGAGAGAGACGGAGAGAGCAGAGAGACTACGGACGTCGTGAGCGCGAAGGATAATTTATTGACTAATTAACGAGGATGTCCTTCATTACGGGTCGAGCAGCAGTAGTGGTCGCTTGCTCTCGCTCGGAACCGGCATTATTTGGCGCCCGAATATTTACGACCGCGTCCTCCTTCTGCCCGTGGACCGGGTCCTCCGCCCCGATACCGATGCCGATGCCGATGCTGATGCCGATGCTGATGCTGCTCCTGCCTCTGTCCCTGCTCGAGAAACAAACCCTGAGAGGGACAGAGAGAGGGAGAGAGAACGCGCGGACCCATAACGACGTGTCCCGATCTTACGGCGATTCGGGGACTTGGAATTTCCTTGCCAAGGGGGATCCTACGCCTGACTCTCCGACACGACCACGAAACTCGCGGGCGTTACTCCTCGGACAAAGGATCGCGCTTAAATCTTGCTGAACTCGTGCCGCTGGTTTCCGCAGGTTCCGCCGTCCTCTCGCAAAATATCGACGCGCCGAGGACACAAGACGAAAAAGGAACGCTCGCGAGCGCGTCTTTTGAATTGGAGATTTTTTAAAAACTACCCCGCTCTCGAAACAGTCTCGAAACGACGTCGATCGGTTACTTGCTGGATCCACAACTGCTTTTTGCTTGGAAAAAGAATGTAAAATTTTTATAAGTTTGCGTAATTCTGTTTAACAAATTTAAACGATGTTTATAATGTATCCAGAATGATAATAAAAGAGAATTCCAAGCTATTTTGTTTAAGCTGGCCAACTTTTTTAAACGAAGCCGAACAGGAGGAACGAGAGGAACGGTTTTCCGATGGTTCGTAAAGAGGTGAGTTTAGACAGAAGGTTGCGCCGCTAAGAAACGAAGAGAAACGGAATACCGGGGCGCGCTTGTTCTTCTGGGCGTCTTTATTGCGAGTTTATCACGGCGAACAAGGAAACCGATACGCAGAAAGAAAAAGTAACGCGAAATTAGTGTGAACTGCGAAGTGCTAAGAAGTCGCGACAGGATGGTTAGGTACACCGCTTAATGAAGATATAACGAGCCTGGCGCCCCATGGGGTTGGCACGACGACGTCGGCACCGAGACGCCCCCCACCATCGTTCCCCCAACGTGTCCTCGTCGTTTCTGCAGCAACCCCTTGCTCGCAACGAGTCTACGGGCCTCAGGTTACGCCTGGACGCTCGTCCTCTTTACGATCGTGGCTCTGGCTCGCGAAATTCCGCGGACTTTATTCCCCTAATTACACCCGGGAACTTATGTCATTGGCAGCGGGTTTCCCTCTCGCGATGCCGGCCCGTCGCGTCATTTATTTAGACAGTTAATAACGTTCAACGGTTATAAGCGGTAATAAGCGATTTCGCAGAAACGATAATTATCTTATGGTTTCGCGCGGTTGGTCCGCGGTCGTTCGTACGGAACGATGACGTCGCGGGACAGCCGTTCCGCGAAAAGAAGAGAACGTTTTTCGATGCGGAGTGCGGTCGTGTCACCGGGCTACGACGACGTACTTATCTTTTTCCAGAAAAAGCATTATAAATTACGCGGTTCGAGTTCAATTTCGTAGGCAGTTCGGTTAATCGCGAGGTGATTGATCGTACCAAGGTTTATCCAGATGAATCCGCGCAATACTTTCTACCGTGACAGCGGAGCTCTCGCATACGGCACGGTCGGCTTCGGCACAACGCTTTGCTTCTCTTCTTTTCCCGTCGCGTCCTCTTTACGTTTCTTCCTTTTTCTTTTTTCCTTTTTTTTCCATCGCTCCCCTCCACCCCTTCTAACCGTTTCTTTTTTCTTTCGCTCGCGACGGAACGAGCCCTCGGGGCCCTTACCCATTACGATATTCGGTGTCCCGAAGTTCGCGAGAATCGCTGGGATTCCATCCCGCTGAAGAACCGGGAGAGAGCGCGGAGAGTCGGGAGAGGGTCGACGAATGGGCCGAGGGCGGACGATATATTTTCTCCCGATGGCTCGGACGCGGCCTCGCGTGTCTACACGCGTGAGTTCGATGTCAGGTTGCGAGGAGACAGCGGGTGTCGGCCTGTACACGCACAAGCGCCGAAACGCCGTCTTAATTATCGGGCGCGATTATTTATGTCGCGTCGCAACGCGTCGACCGTGGCTGCCGCATCCCCGGGACATCCCTTCACGGACACCGAAGATCGAACGACCGCGTTACAGCACCCACGCCGAACCGATCGCGATGATCTAGGATCAGCCGCGTCGAGCTCATTTTTGCCTGGAGTACGATTTAACCCTCTATGAACCCGTGTAACTTTCAGGTCACATGCTAATATAGGGTTATCCAAATTGAGACATCTTTCAACAGATAGCATTGCTAAATAGTTTCATTGTTCTTTGTTATATTTCTCACACGTCATCACTAAACATAAACAAATCATCATGGAACGATACACTGTGCAACAACGTGTACAAATTGTTAAAAACTAAAAATATTCAAGTTCTGTTCGAGCTTGTTTTCTACGCTCGATTTCTCGAGGAGGAGGTATCAACTGACTTCGACTTTTTCCTATGGGGTTTTTTTAAAAAGTAAAGTTTATCCCAATAAACCACAAACGATTGACGAGCTAAGAAACAATATTATATCCGCCATTAATGAAATAGAACCTCAATTGTGTAATGGTGTAATAGAAAATTGGGTAAAACGAGTCGAGCTCGTGAAAAAAGGCGGTCGTTTGAATAGCATGGTGTTCCACAATTAATATTATGAAATGGACTTTATATTAAAATAAAGAAACCTGAAATATCTCAGATAGTCTATTGGAGATTAAGCTGGTACATCTACTGATAATTTGTATATTTTATATTGTATTATTTGGATAAGAGGAATGAGACCCATTATTTACGTCATTATTATTTTGATGATACTAATTTTCTTGTGGGTGGGCGCGTAGGGGACACACGAATGTCATTAATGTTTTTTTCAAAATGGAATTATATACTTTTTATTGCATCGGTCATTGCACTTTGATATTTATTACAAAAAAGTACGAATGTACTTGTATTGAAATCCATTAGTACTGGTACAACTGCAGCCATGTTTTTTTGTTTTAATTACAAAACTAAGAAGTAAGATTTATCTATACTATTTTATGTACTATCACGTTTACTACAGACAACCTTTTGTATAATAATTCAAGTAAAACGTAATACATAATCTAACAATGTGTACGCTTACGGATGCGATGGAGTTCCGATTGCAGTGTCTTTCGCATATCAGATCGTGTTTTGCTTAACCTTTTCACCGTAGACAATTTTTCTCGAAGAAATTATTTTAAACCTAGAATTTACAACGCGTATATTAGATTGAAATAGACAATTATTACAAATACCGAATGTAATTAACAAAAAAACATGTCTGCAGTTGTACCGGTACTCCGCAATATTTGAATTAAAATATCTCCTAAAGTAATGGTTTCTCGGTACAACTAGCTTTATACTTTCTGATAGAGAATTACGAGCGTAACCTATCGGTGTATCAAAAAATATATGACTTTGTTTAAGAAATCAAACTTGACATTTAAATGCATCCACGAACGAAAGTACTAATTACATCGAGCAACGACCATCTCAAAAGTTTCTAAAATATTTCAACGTCGAGTCCTGGACGACTCATCCCGTATTTCGTCTTTCGCGAGCCATCGACGAAAGGCTTTCTCCTTGACCCATGACGATCGTACGAAACCAATCGAACGATCGGTTCTCATCCGTTGCGCTGGAATTTCTTTCTACTTTTTGCCCCGGTATATCGAACAAGGTAATAGAAATCTACGAGCGATAGCCGGGACCGGTGAATGATACCAATTAATACCGCGGAAGCCGTATGGCGGGGAAGGGCCGCGTGACCCGAGAGGAAGACGCGCTCTTGAGACAGAGATACCTCGAAGAAGACAGGAGAGGATAGGGAGGAGGCGAGTTGCCAGGACTGGAAAAGGGGACCCACGGGGATTGATGGCCACCACCTTTAATGCCGTTTGTATGTAGCGGCGCGCGTAAGCGCCTCGCCTTACAGTAATTAGCTCAACAAACGCGCCACCCTGTCCCATCAATTGCTACCCTACGCTTTAGCCTTCGTCTCACTCCCTCTCTCTGTCTCGCTCGCTCATACGCACGCAACTTCTGTATCTCTACTTCTCCCCCTCCCTTCCCCCTTGCCCAGTACGTTCACGCTGTCTCTCTCTCTCTCTCGCTCTCGCTCTCCGTCTCTCTTTCTCGTTCTCGACGCCGATCTTGTTTCCGTTTTCGCTCTCTCCCACTCCGAACCTCAACACTCTCACGTATCTTGAATTAAACATTCGATGCCTCCTGTCTTGGGCGGCGTG